TTTATGGGAAAGGGATATCTTTAACTCAAGTTTTAACCCAGGGAAGAAGTAATAGTGTGGTTTGATTGATTAATGAAGACTGGCTGACACTGTATGACTGCTTTTACTGATCTCACTCTAGATGCGTCTGTACAGTTAATGTCTACATGTCTGAATACATTTAAACATCAGAGATTGGGTAAGGTGTGTTGTGACTCTTAGTGATACTGAGAAACCTCTCAAATATCTGGATGATGTGTTGAACTCATACACTCAGAGTTAAATCAATTACCAGATTTGGGGTCAGGAAGTAATTCTTCCAAAGTCAGATTGGCAGAGATCTCTTCCTGTGGCACATTGCAGGCATTGGGTTACTTTTACCAAAGACTGCAATTTATAGTAAGGTGTTGGAGAGTCCTTTGTGGCTTGCAGGGCCAGAGAGGTCAAGGTGGATGACTTTGTGGACTTTTTGACTTAGTGTCTATTGAATGGCTGCCTGTGTTCATGGAGGTTTGGAGGTGATGACCTAGGTTGTCCTTCTAGTCAGATGTTCCTATTTTTCTTTCATTTTTCCCCACTTTGAATTGAGTAAACATAGAATCAAGTATGAGTTTTGTAAACATTGACATGTATTTTCTATGGCCTAATAAAATGTATTTTGCATCTCTAATTTTAGTTCATCAGCATTCATTTGTGTTGATCAATGTTAATTATTTAATTACTGTATATTTGCCTATGTTATAGTCATAGCACACCCTCTGGTGGTCAATTTAATACACAGACTTTTACTAACCTACACTATACTGTGTCAGAGAGGTGTAGTTAGTAGACCTGTGTGAGTCGGCAGCGATCCGATCTGATCTGGCTTCAGATCTGGCCGCTTTGGATAGCCGTGATCCGATCCAGAGCTCCACTGGGTTTCTACCTCGATCTGGCCAAAGCTTTGGAGCCACCTAGGAGATCCGGCCATAGGGTATAATGGGGGAATCAATGAAATATCTGTAATTTTGTTGTTTTTTGTCCGATTTGGGTGAAACATGCAGAAATGGTAGCCTCTGCTGAGAGCATGAAGCCTGCCAAGTTTCAAGAAGATCGGTGCAGGGGTTTGGGGGGAACTGTACCCCCAATTCTTGAAAGCCAAACTCCTGTCACGGCTAGGCGGGTCAAAACTGCAGGGCTGGTAGCTCTTACTGAGGCCACAAAGCCTGCCAAGTTTCAAGGAGATAGGTGCAGGGGTTTGAGGGGAACTGCACCTCAAGCTGAGGACGAGCAAAACTCGTACCATGGGTGACACTGTGTGCGCTAAGGCGGAGCAGGGTGACAGCTGCAAGGATGGTGGCCCCTGCTGTGACACCTGCCAGCTGTGGAGAAGATCGGTGCAGGGGGTTCTGGGGCCCTGCACCCCTGGCTGCTGACAGACAAAACTCCTGCCAAGACTGTCTGTCTTGGGGCAGTTGATTGTCTGTGTTAATTCTTTCCTCTCCTTAGCTTGGTTTTGTAGGTGCTAACTGATGTACGTTAAGTCCTTATGTAGTAGCTAGGTCCTGTGTATTGAGCTGGTCCCTGAGTGAATCATGATTGATTGATTGGTAACTGGGAACACAGCAGCTCCCCTCCCCACCCCAGGACAGACAGAGCCAGTCCCACAAGCACCCATGGCACCAGTTTTGCTTGTCTGCAGCTTGAGAGGCAGTTCCCCCTAAACCCCTGCACCCATCTTCTTGAAACTTGGCAGGCTTTGTGGCCTCAGTAAGAGCTACCAGCCCTGCAGTTTTGACCCCCCTGTGTTGTAACACATAGATGTGACAGTAGTTTTGCGTTCAAGAATTTGGGGTACAGTTGCCTCCAAACCCCTCTACCGATCTTCTTGAAACTTGGCAGTTTTCATCCTCTCTGCAGAGTCTACCATCCTTGAAAGTTTCATCCAAATCAGACAAAAACCAGCAAAGTTATAGATATTTTATTGTTTCCCCATTATACCCTATGGCCGGATCTCCGAGGCAGCTCTGAGGCTCTTCAAAAGCTCCGAACCGCTTCAGGAAGCCGAACGAGGCAGCGCTTTGACTTGGATGTGCTGCTTTGGACCCTGAAGCATCCGAAGCTTCTCTGGATCCAAAGTCTGTCCGGCCTCACACAGCCCTAGCAGTTACCTGTTATTAGTCTGAAGTCAGGCAGAAGACAGGGCAGTGAGGCACCTTTGACTAGCTGCTTCAGAGAGGCAGGAGCTTTTGTGTGCAACAACCTATTTTATTAGCATCTGACCTACGCTGCCTTCTGCCTTTACTATGTGAAAAAACAAGTAAATACAGCCACCTCAACCAACCTTTCAGCAAAGATGTCTAACTTGGCTGGAAGAATTAATGAGCTCTTTTCTCCTCTACTGGGTAAGTGAAGGGATGGGTGTGGCCCTAAGGTTTGTCTAAATGGTAACTGTTCTTAAAAACTATTGCTAATGACCAAATGGTTTGGTCAATATACCAATGGTGAGACCACAACTAGCCAACAACCTTTTGACCACTATGCCTCCAACCTGTAGTTTAATGATAATGGAGTGAAAATGTGGAGCCTTTTAAAACCACATGGAGGCTAGTGCTCGCCTGATTGCAACCGACAATGAAGTTACTAGCACAGTGAAAAATGTTAGAAATAAAAGCACTGAGCACAGGGAAGTATGGGAGTGACTTCTCTTACCAGTCATCAGCTCTCTCCACTGCTTCCTGTTGTGGCTAAAACTCAAGCTATTGGCTTGATTCTGAGTGGAAAAATGCCATCAGCCTTTGGATTAACCTTAGCAAAGGTGACAGGTTCTGAAATAATTTAGGGGCTGTGAGAGAAAAGCAGCTAGTCAGGTAGAGCACTTGAGAGGCAGTCAGAAGTGGCAAGATAAACAGCAGAAAAAAGCTCAAACTGGGCAAACTGGTCCTAGCAGACTTCTTTTGTTTCTGTGCCAAAAATCTTTGCAAGGAGAAATAAAGACAACATGTTTAGTATGAACATCATTAGACTGTATGGATGGGCAAGAACATTAGAAAGTCCATTATGAAGCAGGATTAACTATATCTGGATGGTGCCTGAAAGACGTTTTCTAAACTCTTAAAGTCTCCAGTGGATTCCACAGCCTCTCTAGGCATTCTGCTTCAGTGCTTAACTATCTTGATGACTAGAAAAAAAAGTCCCAACATCAAATGTAACCTCCCTTGCTGCAAGCAAAGCTGATTGCATTTTGTCTTGCTACCAGTAAACACAAAAAATAATTTATTGTGGTCTATAAACTTTTACATGTAGGAAAACATTTCCACCTCCATATTCAATGTCTTCACCTCCCCAGTTTTCTCTCTCTTTTTCTGCTAAACAGACCTAGTTCTTTCAGCCTTCCCTGACAGACCATGTTTCCACACCCCTCCCTGTTCTTATTGCTCTTCTCTGGACTCTCCCCATTTGCCCAGATCTTTTCCTTTTCTTTTTTTTGTTTGAATGCTTTAGGTTTGGAAAGGGAAGAATTTCCAGTATAGTTTTGCTTGGTTCTATCTAGCATCTTATACTTGCTGATGATGAAAATGGGTAGAAGAGTTTTATATTTCTCATGGGCTAGCCCATGAATTGCACTCACTTCACTGGAATGACCCATGTAAATGATTTATGAATATAGTATGGATAGAAGGCTACAAGACTCATAAGAGGTTATAAAAGCCTACAGGTGTATCTGCTAATTCTATTTGACAAAGCGTTGTTTATGAGGATCCCTTAACTCTGCCAAAAGTTCTGCACTCAGTATACAGTAAGACATGTCAAGAGAAGGAAGATTTACTAAATAAGAACATCTGCATTACAGCAGATACAAAAAAACCTTATTTCAAACAATAGGTGATAACATGTACTGTACTTTCCATTATTGATGCATAAGAACAGAAAGTATGCGAAAGGGTGTCCCTCTCCTTTTATATAGCCATAATAAAATGAAATGCAAAAAACCCCAAAAAACAAACAAACAAAAAACTCTAAAAAACCCACACACACACTGAAAGGAGGAAATGTAAAAGCAGTAGGTAGCCTACTGGAATTGTGGGCTTGCAAAGGTATAAACCTCCAAACATCAGCATCTGAATAAGTGTGGAGAGGGTGAAGACCCTCAAGTTCTGGCAGCACTGAACCATTTCAGCAGGGTGCCTTTCCACCTAATGAACAGCATGAGTCGCCAATTAAATAAGAGATAAAAGCACAAGCTCTTGCGAGCCCCAAATCTAACACCCTGCTCCACACACCAGGATCGTCTCAGCCTTTGCCTTTGCTTGGGCTCACAGATGCTTGAGTTGAGAAAGGTGCGTTGTTTCCCTGCCTTCTGCTTGCAGGCGCTCAGACACCACAGTGGGCTCGGACAGCACTTCCCAGCTGCAACGCACCTGGCTGGGAAATGACCTGGCTTCATGTATTTCCATATATTTCTGACTTCAGATATTTCCAAAGTCTTTGGGCAGGCATCCTATGTGCAGGACCAAGCCCAGAGGCTGGGGTTTAGATGTACCCAAGTTTTGCCTGCCCTCGGCCATATGACCACAGGAGCAAGCTAGAAAGGAGCCTCCCATTTCCACAAAATGGGCATTAAGCCCCAACACCTCGTGGGTACTAAACCATGCCAGAAGAACAGTTATCCTGGGGAGACTTAAGGAAAACTGCCTTCTTGGACCCAGATCTATGGTGTTTCCCGATCTGGCTTCCATCAGTGACCCTGGCTGGGGCCTGGGCTGATGCACCTCAAGGGCCAAAACAAGGCAGCCCCTGTCCCTCCTAGAGCAGGAAGGCCCGGAGCGACACCAGAGCCCCGGGTAATGCCCAGCCCCCGCTAAGGGGCAGCCCCACCACCACAAGCAAGTTGCGACCTATCGCGAGAGCGCCAGAGGACCGCCTTGCTCCACCCCTACGCCTCTCGCGAGATTCTTCCCCTGTTTCCTTTATTGCTGGGAGTTGAGCTCTCGCGCGAGCTCCAACAGCCAATCGGCGGGCGGGTTGTTCCGACGGGGGAGGCCGCGAGTCTCGCGCTGTTTGGCGCTGGCCCCGGTGCCTTCCGCGGCTCGTTCCCGTCTCCCCCTCCTCACGCAGAGTTAATATGGTCACCGGCGATGGACCCTGTCAGGCCAGGTCAGCGCGGGGCAGAGCGGGCCGCCCCCGTGTTGAGGTCCTGCCCGCTGCGACCCCCTCGGCTCGGCCCGGGCTCGCGGCTCTGCCCGTCCTGTCCCCGGGGCTCCCCCCCACTCTCGGGCCTTTGTCGCCGACGCCGCCCACGCGCTTTGTTCCGGTGCGGCCGCCCCGAGCAACGGTGGGGGGGGCCCTTTCCTGCTGCCCCCTCCTGGGTGCCAGGTTAGAGCGGATGCCGAGCTGGTCGCGGGGCGGCCTCGGGGTCCGCTCCAGGCTCCCCAGTGGTGGAATCGCCCCCTCCCCGCGGCCAGGCCCGTCTCGTGCTGTGGCCGCGGCCTCCCTGAGCTGCGTTGGCCCGTGGCGAGATGCAGCCGAGACAGGATTTGGCATCTGGAAAGCCCAAGGCCCAGCACTGCCTCACCCCCCCATAACTGTGCCGGGGTTGGAGGGACTTTGCTGGGTGCTGGCTCCCTGCTGTGCCTGGGGTGAGGGGCAGCCCACAAAATACTTACACACCTGCACATCTTTCCCATTCATTTCCTCATAAGTGCCTGAATGATGGGGTGGGGAGAGGGAATCTGTTTTTAGGGGGGTTTAATCCAAATTTACATTCCATCAATATGCAATATACAGACTCTGTAGGCATTTCTATAACATGTTATTGATATTGTCCATCTATCTTAATTTTTATGTGAGTGGACACATTCTTTCTGTAGAAAAAATAGTTAAAATATGTAAAATAGTAGTTATCTTTGCTTTTTAAGTAAGGCCTTTACTGAAGTGTGTGTTTGCTTGCTAGGTGCTGGTGCCCCTATTACTATGGTATCTGAGCAACACTTATTCTTTAATATATTAAATTCTGCGGAAGTAGAACATGCTAATAAGCCTGTTTACAGGTGGGGGAACTGAGACTCCAGGTATAAGGGCCACATCATAAATATGTCTAGGTTCCTAAAGAAATGGAGAGACTCTTTGTGATATATTTTTTTAAAAGCCTGTAAGGGCCTAACTTGCTGAGCACCTCTCAGAATCCCACTCAGTGCCTGTCTGCATCACTAGCTTCCAAAATACCCTTTAAAAAATCCATTCACAAGTGATTTATTCCTGGGAGGGTCTGTGGTGGAATAGAAGACTGTTAAAATTAAAACTTAAGTTTTCTGAATCCCAAGTCAGTGCCTGAGCCACTACAGTATCTCTCCTCTCTATTTCGTAATGCTTGCATTGTTTTTCAGAATGCCCGTTCCAGTACTTAATTGAAAGTTTAAATGACAATCCAGAAAAGAAATTTTACAATGTCCCTAAACTTGGAGGCACCAAGTATGGTAAATAGTATTTTTAATATATAATATGATTTTCATTTAATAAACTTGCACCCATTTACTGCTGTGAAATGCTGTCTGATGCAGGAGTGGCTATGTTGTTTTCAGCAGGTTTGATGCAAGCTTACTGCTGTTTTATGTTTTATTAATAAACTAGCTTCAGTCAGATAAAGAAAAGATGCCTCACAGAAGCATTTTCTGCTAATAGAAAGGCAAAGATGTTCTTGAGCTTTCACATAAATCCAGTCATTTCTACTGTGCAACATGACCAGCGCTTTTGTTACAGAATTAAGCAGTGACTCTCTGACCAAATAAAATGAAAGCTCTATTAACTTGCCATATGAAGAAAAGTTTTGACTGACATGAACTTGTAGCAGTTATATAACAGACGTAAAATGTTGTTTACTCTAAACAGTCATAATTTCTGGGAGAACGTGATGTCCATGAAACTAGGTAGAGCCAAACAGGTCCAGTGAAAGCTTTTTCATGGAGTTCCCCGTTGGTATACTGTTGATGCTTCTTTAGCTCTCTCTCAACTGAATCATCTAATTAGCTGTGACTACACTTAGTTTTGTTGTTGTCGTCTTTTCTAAAGCCAAATATGTTTAATACCACCATTGCTCTTACTCTTACCTCTCTTGCCCTGCTTCCCATGATCATGTTTCTGTTCTTTTCAGCAATTCCACATGGTAGATAACTGTCCCTCTGATTAACGTGTGGCAGGTAGGCCATAGCTTCTGGTGTAACTGCTACAGAGGGATCAGTTGAGTTAAACTGTGTGAATAGTCCTTTTGATGTAGATGAATGTTTCTCTCTGCAGACAAATTACTGGATTAAGTAGCATTATGTTTATGCTGACTCTTGGAGATTTGTCATGAGTCTAGTTAGGAAATAAGACAAAACAATTGCACAATATAGAATAACTGAAGATGTGTCACCCTGTGAAATAGGAAATAATGTTTCATTTTAAATTTACGTATGTATTTTTTCACTAATAAATTACTTCTGGTTTGCTTTAAATTTGTTTATAACTTCCTTCTTGGAAAATGCTTTCTATTTCATCAATTTGCAGCATTTAAGACTACACTTAAAAACAGCTAGTTTTTTTTAACAGCAAATATCATCTTGTGCACAAACTGCTGGGAGACCTCTTCACTGCCTTTATTCATAGTTTTACCAAGCATCAATGGCAGAGTGGAAGTAACAAAAACAGTCAATTTTTAGGACCTAGATGATAGCAATGAAAATAAGCAGTATTATATCACCTTCTCTGTACACCTGGGAAACCTATGAGCAACTGCAAAAGTCACTAGAGCTACTTAGAGAGAAGGACTGAAAATTGAAACTGAGGAGATGTAGAATTGATCCAACAATTGAAAATACTCTGAGGGGTGAAGGGGAATTTTTTCTCTATTAGCAAATGTGGATAGCTTCAAGTCCTTTAGAGAGGAGTGTTAAAGTGTTCCAAAGCAGGGTTACGGGACACCATACTAGTAGGAATCTTAGCTTCTCAATCACAGACTGGATTTCTAACCAGTTTATTCATCCTGGATGTTGCCTGTGGATTTTTTATCCTACTGTCTTTCTGATCGCTGGTTACATGCTTGTGTGAAGTATCAGATTGTGCATGGTTTTATAGTTGTGATCTTTAAAGCGAGAGTTAATTGATATATTTTGCTCTAACTTTTTGGAATCTGGTCATCTGCATATTTAAACTGAGAGCATAGGTATTTGTTTATAGGAAAATGGCAGCCATATATATGGTTGAAGCTAAAAAGTCTTGTTCTGTCTATGTCAGTCTTAGGCTACCCTACATACAGCTAGAAGCACAAATGAGATCTCGTAGTTTTAACCCCAGGGGAGAACACAGCCATTAGGGATACTAAACTGTTTTCTGGTAATTTGAATATTGAATGTAGTGTGTTTGATATCTCATCATATTCAAATGCACTTTTAATCCGATTTTTATACTGCTTATTTTTGTTTGCATTATTGAGAAAGGAACTATACCAGTCAATTACTGTAAATGTATCTAACCTAAATTAAGCAGGCAAACTTTGCAGTCACAGTTTAGGTGGCAGACTCTGTGCAGTAGGCTAAGACGGTACATACATCTGTTAACCTTCATTCAGATTTTTAGCGTTGGTCTCTGGAGCTAAAAACAATTATACTTGAAACCTTTTGAGCAGCTAGCTCACTCTCCTTATGTTTTTTTCCCATTGCTTTTATTCTGCCTTTTGTCCCCCTGACTTGCACTAAATGGAATTATGTTTGGAAAAGAAGTAACTGACTCGCATTCTAATTGAGTACCCAAGAAGGTCTCCTTAAAACCCTCAATGGTGATTGACAACCTTTCTCTTTTTTTTTTCAAGTCCCTATATTTTTCTTGATTTGAAAGTGTCCTCCAGTCTTTAACCTAATCCAAAGTAACATCAAATTAAACTGTTCAATTAAGCATCCAGGTTTCTCCTGCTTTGAAGCTCTCCTTTGAAATTATTTCTTGTCTTGCTGTCACCATTTAATGTAACCTTAGGCAAGATTGCACATAGTGTTCTGTATTCTAGCATTTAAAATCTAACCTGATATCCCACTGTAATTTAATGGTCAAATTTTAAGTGTAAAATGTGGTTTCTACAACTGAATAGTGCAAAAAAGTCTCCTTGTTCTGCTCTTCTTGCTTTGTGATTAGGAACAGCCTTGACATTCCATACATCTTTCTCTTGCAAGCATGTACAAGCCTTTATCTTATCCTGTTTGTGCAGTGTACTGTCCTTTCTCTGGTTCATTAACCCATTCTTGTCTCGTTTGGCTCTCTCACAAAACTCTGCCATATGCCTGGAGGAGGTGACTTGTTATTCATTGATGTGCATTTAAGGTAGTAGGGGTCAGCCTTTTTGGCACTATAAACTAGTGGCACTCCCTGAGTATCACTCTAATCCCATTCTCTTGCTTGATCAGCCACTCTGCTTTCTGGTCCCTGTCCTGTGCTCCCTGTCTAATCTGCTGCTCTGTTTTCTGTTTCTTCCTTTCTTTACCACTCTGCATATCGGTTAATTTAATGTTTAGTTAAACTATATTTCATTCCTATGCTTTAAAGAAGTTGGTGAGTTTCACTGCTGCAATTTACAAATCTCTTTTAGTATAGTAAGATATTAATAATTAAACCATAATCCGATACAAATATTCCATTGATTAATGTAGTTACTTTGTCTTGACTTAGATAATTTGCCTTACACTGTACGGGTACTGTTGGAAGCTGCTGTCCGTAACTGTGATGGCTTCTTTGTTAAAAAGGAAGATGTTCTGAACATTCTAGACTGGAAAACAAAACAGAACAATGTTGAAGTGCCCTTCTGTCCTGCCAGGGTTCTCCTTCAAGATTTTACGTAAGTGATGTGTTTTCTTTATTCAATTTAACATTTGATTTTCAGAATTTTAGTGTAGTGTACACTGATCTTACTAGTTTTTTTCTCTGGTTTGAAAACAAATAGTAGCCAACTATTGGACTGGCACCAGTAACAGGAAAATTAACATTATCGGCAATCAGCTTTTTTTGGCCAGTAGTATCATCGATAAATGCCATATGCACCATGTATGCAGTCAGGAATGCAGCTTGGAGAGCAGTGATCTTCTGGTAAATCTGCAGGAGGGAGGGAGGGACAGGGGGGAAAGGGGCATTGGGGAGAGAAGAGGCGTGGGGGGGCAGGTAAAGGCCCCTATGGTGACTGGGGGGGGGGGGGGGAAGAGGGTTGCCTAGCTAGGATGGGGAATAGAACCCTGGGAGTGGGAGTGACCACTGGTGGCTCATCCAAGGGGATACAGTGTGGGGTGGGGAGGTAGGGTGGGGTGGCTCCCCGCTGTTGTGCACACCCCTGGCAGAGGAATGGGGGTATGTACAGGGTGAAGGTGGGCTATCCACTTCAGGCTCTGGGCCAGGGGCTGTGCTAGCCTTTTGCGGGGGAGGGGCAGGCCTGGGCTGGGGCTGTGCTCAGGGTGGGAGGCACTGGGAGCAGGGACTATGGGGAATTTTGGGGTGTCTATAGCCCCCGAAACTCCCCCAGTGCCGTCTTTGCTCAGGGTACTCTATTCTGCTGCCTTTCCCTCAGGAGTCCTGGGCTGGCTGTGCATCTTCTGCCTACCCTGGAGTGCAGGGCTCCTGAGGGAAAGGCAGCAGAGTGGAGTGCCCTGAGCGGGGGTGGAATTTGGGGGGCTATAGCCACCCCAGAATTCCCTGTAGCCCCCCACTCCTAGCACCACCACCACCTGCCCTCTGCAGGTGAGCCTGCCCCACTCTCAGCCCTGGCCCAGCCTCCCCACTGGGAAGAGGCTGGTGCAGGCTCTGGCCCTGAGCCCACAGCAGGCAGCCTGCCGCCACCCTGCACACAAATGCAGGGGGGCACATGCCCCTCATGCCTCCCTTAAAGGTGTACGCAGCAGCAGGGAGCCACCCCTGTGACCCCTGGATGAGCCACTCATGTCTCCATCCTGCTCCTGGCACTGGGGTTCCTATTCACTGCCCTGGCTGGGCAGCACCTTCCCCAGGCCCACTCTCTCCCTCACCATGGGTGCACACCCCACTGCCCTTCTCTCCCCCCTCCCCTGCCCCGACTTCCTGACAGGATGCTGCTCGCTAAGCTGCCAGATTGCATTCCGGTAAATTGCCTATTGGATTGGTGTCGGCCAATATGCATGGTTAATAATTGGCTATTGGTATCGGGCAAGAAAATCTTTATGGGTGTACCCATAATGGAAATCAATCATTTTTATTGCATATACAGTAAAAGTGCTGTTATCCGGCATCTTACAAGTTGGCATGCTCCGCTAACTGGCGTGCCGGTTTGTAAGATAAAGTGAAATGGAAAGTGCCCACCGTGGCACTTCTGGTTTCTCCTCGCCCCCATGGCTTAGGGCAAAGCAGCCTGCATTGCTGAGCCCCCACAGCCCAGGGGCATAACAGGCTGTGCAGGGCTGTGTGGAACCTGCCTCCCTGTCCTGCAGGCCCTGCAGGAGGGGCGGTGATGCTGCAGGAGGTGTGGAGGGACGCCCCAGACGCAGCCTATGAAGCGGTGGCCAGGGTTACCTCAAGTAACTGGTGTATTTTGTTATCTGGCATCTGCTGTTCCCGGAGCGGGGGTGGGGGGAAGGATGCCCCTCTGTCCCCCTCTGCCAGCACTCTGTGCTGCCGCCACCTCCAAGGAGCAGGGGGTGGTGGTGGTTTGGCCAGCATTACTGGCCTTGGCCCTCCCTGCTCTGCCCCCTCTGTCTCTGCCATCATGGTGGTGCTCTGCTGCTGCTGCCTCCTGTCCATAACGCTCATGGAGCAATCTGATTGGTTGTTTCAGTAACCAGTCAGAGTGCTCCAAGAGCATTATGGACAGACAAACAGATGGACTAAGCCCTTTATTATATTAGAATTTTAACAAATCCAACTAAAAATAATGTTCTTTAAAATGTATTATACAGAGTGAAATAATTACATATTCTGTAGTTATGAGAGAATATGCACCTGTGTAGGATGAATTGGAAACAAGCTTATTTAAATAGTTTGGTTTTAGTGAGTTGTTGATACATAATGCAGCTTAAGTGTTGGGGTTTTTTTCTGTTTCTTCCTTGTTAGTGGAATTCCTGCAATGGTGGATTTTGCTGCCATGAGGGAAGCAGTGAAAATTCTTGGAGGAGATCCTATGAAAGTCTATCCTGCATGCCCAACTGATCTCACTGTTGACCATTCTTTGCAGATTGACTTCAGTAAATGGTATTAAAATTAATATCCAATTCACTCTAATTTTCAAGTGGTGGTCAGGGTTTTTAATCTCACATTTATTTTCTGCTATGTTGGTAGAAGAAATATAGGCTGTAACAGTTATGGAAATCTTATGTATTAATTTTTAAATAAATGATGATAAATGTTTATGCAAGAAAGAGATCTGTACTGTTAAATATCCTCATATGTTTCATAGTTTAATAGTTTCTAGGGTCGGAAGGGACCTGAGTAGATCATCTAGTCCGACCCCCTGCCATGGCAGAAAAGAGTACTGGGGTCAAACGACCCCAGCCAGGTGTTCATCTAACCTCCTCTTAAAGACCTCCAGGGTAGGGGCCAGCACCACTTCTCTTGGAAGTTGGTTCCAGACCCTAGCCGCCCTGACCGTGAAGTAGCTCCTCCTGATATCTAGCCTAAATCTACCCTCTACCAGCTTGTGACCATTATTCCTGGTCACTCCTGGCAGCGCTGGGGGAACAGGGACTTCCCCAGTGCCTGCTGATCCCCCCTTACTAGTTTGTGACAGGCCACTAGATCTCCCCTCAGCCTTCTCTTCTGGGGGCTGAACAGGTTCAGATCCTGTAGCCTCTCCTCATAAGGCCTGCCCTGCTGCCCCCTGATCATACGAGTGGCCCGCCTCTGGACCCTCTCCATGTTGTCCACATCCCTCTTGAAGTGCAACGCCCAGAACTGGACGCAGTACTCCAGCTGCAGCCTGACCTGTGCCGCATAGAGGGGGAGGATCACCTCCTTGGACCTGCTCAAGATGCATCTGTGGATGCATGAAAAGGTGTGGTTGGCCTTCCTGACTGCTTCCCCACACTGCCGACCCATGTTCATCTTGGAGTCAGTGATGACTCCAAGATCCTTTTCTGCCTCTGTACTGACAAGAAGGGAGTTCCCCAACCTATAGGTATGGTGCCGGTTGTTCCTCCCCAGGTGCATCACTTTGCACTTGTCAGTGTTGAATCCCATCCTGTTCTCATCCGCCCACCCTTGTAACCTGTCTAGGTCCGACTGTAGCCTATTGCTCCCATGTGAAAACAATTCTAGACGCATGATAATACTACTGTCTGACATCCAATCTCAGTTGAGCTCAGCGGACTAGCTTGTCAAGATGGGGAACACAGGTTGCAGGCATGCACAAATGGAAGAGCTTCTTCATCATATAAGTGACATTCTCAAGTCAAGTCTCAGGTGAGCTAGGAAGGAACAGGCTGTGACAGCACAGGCCCTGAACCATGGGGGTCATGAGCAGCTGAATTTTCCTTACGTTCTGGTAGATCAGTGGTTCTTGACACTCTTTAGACCCCAAGCACTCCTCATTATACTCAAAGCACCCTTTGGAACAAGCCAGCTGTTAATTTACACTCATTTCTTGACTGGATAAATAATAAACCAGTTTTTCTGTTACAAATAACTTAGAAATATCTCAGCAGGTCAAAATGGTTTTAACACTGAATTCTTATCTGAAATCTCTGGGTGTATTTTGTGAATCATGTTTTCACACCTAACAGTGCTAACTGACACCCCACAGCACCCCTGTTGCAGTAGATGATGCACTTTAGATAATGTACACCTATTAGGCAATGAAAAAGGTCAGAAACATTGTGATAAAACAGGGCTTTTGTCTGTTTTGTATTTGGATTTTTAAGTACAAATATCACCTCCTTTTTATGTTTGTTTTTCATTCTTCTGAACAAGAATACATAGCTGTGAAATTAGAATTATTTTTGTAATGCAGCTTCTATGCAAGTCTGCTGCTTTTGTTTTTCTTTCCACATATTTGGAAGAAAAAGCCCAAATTACACTAAGTCTAATGTGAAATTTTCAAACTGGTCAGATGTTGGCGAGAAGTCTCAAATGTATGCTGATTTCTAATGATAAATCTAGGTCTTCTAGTTTTTAGTATTGGGAAACTTGTAGGAATCTGTCAGTATCTGCTAGAGGGAGAGATGGGGCCCTTTCCTATAGAGGTCTACACGCTTTCTGTAGCTTTCAGTTCAGGCTTCCATTTCCCACTGGCCTGAGCACCACAGACTGAGTTTATACTTAGGCAAGAAGCAATGTGAGGCAATACAGTGAGTGTATTGACGCTGCATAGCTGTAAGGCATTCTTGTTATTACTAGGGCAGCTAAAACATTGATGACCTTATTTACCAAAGTGGCAAATTATTGACTTCTAACCATTAGAGATTAAAAAAATCAAACCCTTTCACAATGCATTTTTTCAATGGGTTCATGTAAAGATTGAATATATAGTATAAATATAGGTAGTGTACATAGGTGTTCTTCAAAATAGTGTTTAATTAGTGTGTTTTTTGTTTTGTTTTGTTTTTTGCCTCTTGGTTCAAAAGTACCTTTTATATCTGTAGTTATAAATGTTTATTACTTTAGTCCTTGAGCTCTAATTTCAGAAAGCACCCGTACAAAGTGTGGTAGTTTCTCTGAGCGGGCTTCAGCAGTAAACAATTCACTCTGAATTTAGTGATGTCAATGATGCTGCCATTGAGTAAAACTAAACATGGTCCCTAACCCATTACTCGGATGAAACCTTTATTTTTTACTTCAAACCTTGTGTAACCTGATGGGCCTTTACTGTGCCCTGTCAGTAAATTCATTTTCTGTTGGTACAAACAAAGGCAGTGGATTGTTTATGAATCTGGGAATACAGCTTTTTAAAAATCCTGACACAGTCATTAAAATCTCTTCTTTTGTTAGTTAACCAAGGAGTACAGCTGGTGATAAATCTATTCAATGCAACTTTATTTTGCATCAGGGTAGTTATTAAAATACAGTTTTACCTTTAGGCATATTAATAATTTGAGGTGTTTTGCAACAGAAAAATAGTTTTTTGTTCTACCTTATTTTCTGTTTACAATGACAGTGCGATACAGAATGCTCCAAATCCTGGAGGAGGTGACTTACAGAAACCATTGGCAAAACTTTCACCACTGAAAGTGCAGCCTCGGAAGCTACCCTGCAGAGGCCAGACTGGCTGCAAAGGGCCGTGTAGTGCTGGAGAATCGAGTCGTAACTCAGGACAGTTTTCTGCACAGATTGAGAACACGCCCATCCTCTGTCCTTTTCATCTTCAACCAGTGCCTGAGTATGAAATGCTTTGCTCTACTTTTATTAGTAACTCCCTACAGTAAAAGATGGAATTGATGTGTTTACTGAATAGAATGGATCCCTTTAGTGGATAATGTGTCCTAGCCCAAGATTTTTAATTTTCACTGTTTGGGGGGCTGGGTGGGAAGGGAATTTTTTAGCTTAAAGCTGAGCAAAACAGTTGTGCCACTCTAAAAGTGTCACTTCACTTGTGTCACTCCAAAACACCTATATCAAAAGTTACCACACACATATAAGCTGCCAGTCCTCTGAAAACAGTGCACCTTAAATTCTACAGGTCCTTGTCATTTTGAATGCTCATGGCAGCTCATGGAGATGATGCAGAGGTACATTTAACACAAAGCTGCTTTTCCCACACCAACCAAACACTGAACATTTAGGAAGATGTCTAACATGGCAGAAACTTAAGTAAGCCTAAAATGGATCATTCTGCCAAGATGTAGAGCAGCTTAGATGAAAGAGTTATTCATCTCGTCTGTGATTGTCAGTTTAAATCTGTGTTAGAGACTTGTCTTATTTTCTTGTGAGGACAGTGGTAGTACAGAGATGTTACTCTGCAGATTAGTAAATCTTAAGTTGAAGCACCATTGCAACACTTACAGATTTTACACCGGTTTCTTTTTGGTTCTCATTCGACTGTCTTGCAGAAGATTTTAAGGATTCCGTCAACACTCCTTTCCTCTGGACATCCCTAATCCAGCTAAGAACGTGGCCTCTGTATTAACCCCCAGGACACTAAAAACTCTTTGGCTGCATCCACACAAGCATAGATGTTTGTTTCCCCGGGGACAAGAAGCAGTGGTGCACCTTGTACTGATGCTACTTGTCTCTGGGCAGTGCCTGTGCCATTCACCCTCTGGTGTGTGGCAGGTTATCCCAGATGGGGTAGGGAAGGCTGGGGCCAACAACTGTGCTGGCCCTAACAGCCTTGCCTGGGGGTCTTGGGGAGGTGGAACCATGGTGATCTTGCTGCTCATAGCCTGGCTGGCAGCTGGAGCATTGCTTCAGCTGACCAGGCTCTGGGTTTGGGCAGCCCACAGTGCTACTGTGCACTGCCCTACATTTTTCTTTTTCCTGGGTTCCCCATGTTGCTACCTTGCAGCAGAGAACACCTGAATGTGCAGTGTGTAACACCGCAGACAGGTCTGTGCCTCGTATCACAGGGCAGTGCTTGTCTGGATGTGGACTTTTAGTCCATCCGTCATTGCATGGAAATTCAGCATTAAATCTTGGCCTTATGTGACAGTCCCCAGAGGCGTCATTTGCTCACCTTTTCCCAAGGTTCAGCATTATTTATAGGTTCTTTTGCACCACTTCATCTATGACAATTGTATATAATCACCCTCACCTTTCAGCTGTCGCCTATTTTCTCTGATAGATTGACCATGTCCTTGTCTTCAGTTGGATGACATTTCTAGGATTTTTAAGTGGTATCAAAGAGAGACCTGCAGCAATACAGTGTATTGATTGTATTGCTAATTTTATAGAAATGTTGTAAACCATCCCCTTCTATATGTGCCTGAAGCAAGCACAAGTAATGTGATGAGAAAAATTTAAATGTTATTTCCAGCAGCATGGATTTGCTAGCATCTGTATGTCTTTTTCTCTCAGCAGTGGCATTCTTTAAGCTGCAGCTTGAGTGGTGATGACTATCCCTTAGGGCTTTCCAAGACAGTATACCAATATGGCCTTCCTACACTGCTGGAAAGAAAAGGGGAAAGATTCTGTAGTAGATCAACTGGAGACCCATGGGCCTTTTTTTTTCCCCCTCTGTCTTTGTTACAAAAACTCAGTTTCAGAGAAGCCAAAAATAGTTTGAAAATCTCACAGTCCAGTGCATTTCACTCTGGTTTATTAAAAAGATGGCTTTCATTCTAAACATGCATGAAAATTAATCAACTGCTGTTGTATTCAGAGCCTGATTATGTATAGTAAAAGCATCTGTGAATCAATAAATACAAATTCTGGAGGTTCTACAAGTAAGTTTGCCAGTATTTTGTTGGGTTTCCAGTTAGAACTAGAGATGAAGATAAATATATCTCTTTTGACCTCTGTGACATGAATCAGACACAGTTTTTTCCCAACATTTAACTGGTTGAGCTAAGCAACCTTTAAAAATATTAGGACAAATACCTTCCTTAAATGACAGTAGTAATTTGTTCCTGGCATGCTGAGAAAAGTGTTTTTTCTAATGAGTTTTTTGAGCTTACTTGCTTCAGGCACATCAGAGCTGAAAAGCCATCTCAATTTTGCTGTGCTTGATGAGAAGACCAGCCCCTTGCTCCACTGTTTTTTCAGGGAACATTTTCCTCATTCCTGACTTCCTTGTTAGGAAGAAATTCTTCTGGGCATTCCAGTAAAATGTTTCAGATTAATTTTTCATTTGTACCAATGAATGAGCATTTAATCAAGCAAAAAGCAAATCTCATTGTTTATAATCCAAGACAAGATTCTGATGCTAATCGATTGATTTTAATTTCATTGTAGGCCTGAAACAGTGTTAAAAAACCAGGAGATGGAATTTGGTAGGAATAGAGAGAGGCTTCAGTTTTTTAAGGTATGTAACTTTTTGTACAGGCTTTGTGTACTTTTTAAGTTTGCCTTGACGTTTTATCTTTCAGGTGACTTTTGGCAGTCCAAGATGGTAGGGAAGATTTAGTGTGAGACCTTTTGAAATTTCACGTTTTCAAAAGTTAGGTTTTTAGCATATTTTAGAACAGCTGCTTGTGCATTGTGTTTTTTAAATAATATGAACATGCACATTTTGGGGAAAATACAAATGCAAAGCTTTGTGAATTCTGTTGTAAATGAAAATGCTTTGAATAAATTGAACAGCTTGCAGTATCATTTCTAGGTTATGTGCTACCTATCTATATGGGCTGACTGCTTAACCACCTCAGAAATGTTTTAGTCTAAAGTCATAGGATTATCTTGTAGGTAGATTGTGCTTCCAAACAGTTGGTACTCATTTGTTGAATTAACAGTCAGTACTCTTGAACTGGGTTAAAGAAAATGTAATGTGTGTCGGCTATATTTAGAAAGCTAAAATTACTTTTTGCATTACAGCTACAGTCCCAATCTTTTGCTCTTTGACTCAGGGACTTAGATTAGACAAGGGGCCTAATCTTATGTAAGTGGTCTCACTGAAGTCAGTAGGTCTGCTTGTAAATAGTATTTGATCAGAAGAGATGGGTGCTGTTTTCACATGAGGGTCGTTTCATTGAGGCAAGTTACTTTTTGTTTTCTACCTGTGGCAAGCTATTATCTTTGTTCTGCTTGCTGCTAGCCTATGGACATGGGACCTGGACTCTGATCCCAGTAAGGCTGCATAATGTGCTGATAACTTAATTGCCAAGGAGGATCCTTAAATCTGTATTTTAGTGATAAGCTAGGGATGTTTCTTCTGTAATATTGTTTTAAAGAAGTAATACAATGTTAATATTTAATAAATTAAAGAAGTGGGTAAAGGGCAGTTATACCCTGAAAAGTTATTCTGTATCAGGGCAATTATTTGGGTTTGTGGGCCACAGAGTTTTGGGGAGCTGTCATGGGCCAGGGTAGTACTCACCCCTTCCCCCCACAACAGCTTACTTAACCTCTCTATGTGGGATAGGGCTGTGGGCAGCAGGTTCAGCCTTGGGCCTGCCCTTCTACCTTAAGGAGGGGCTTGGGCAGGTGCCCCAATTCCCAGGGGAAAACAGCTGGACCTGCCCATGATGAACAGCAGTGGCCAATGCTGGGTGCCCGGTAAAAGCAGGACCTGGCAGCGTGTGTGCTCACTACTTTTGTGGCCTTTCTGGCGGCTGCTGTCCAGAGCCTGTGCCTGGGCCTACCTGTGGTTCCTCCCTGCTGCTGCTGCCACCACTCCAGGACAGCTTGGAGGTGATGTAGGGGGGCAGCAGCAGGGAGGAGCTGCAGGGCAGTCCTGGTGCAGGCTTTGGGCAGCTGCAGCCAGAAGAGCCCCAGAAGTGGTGAGCGCACCTGCTTGTTGAGTCCTGCTTTTGCCTGGTGTAGCAGCTGGTGCTGGGCTGCTCATCATGGGCAGGCCACATCTCTCTGTCTTCTGCTTTCCTCTTGCCTTCCTCCACTCCTCTTTGCCCCACAACCCCCCAGCCATCCTGCACCTCTAGCATGGCCTTTCAGCTTACACCGCTCCTGACTCATGTGCAAGCTGCAGTGCTGAGTGTGCTTTGGTATCAGCTGTGGATGCAGGCAGCAGCTTCCCCCTGGGGATTGGGGAGTCCTTTCAGGTCTGAAGGTGACAGTGCATCAGCATATCAGCTGCAATCCCGGGCAGTTACCCCAATCCCTGGTGGTTACCAGCAGGCCATATCTGCAGCTGATGCCAACGTGCACCTGGCACTGCTTCTGGCACATGGGGGTGTAAGCTGAGGACGGGACTGGGACATGCCTGTCCGCCTGCCATGATGTAGCAGCTGGAACCGCCAGGTCCCTGGGGGCTGGATCCTATGACTTGGCTGCCACCAGCCCCCAGGCCAGATGCAATCGGTTGGTGGGCTAGATTCGGCCCACAGGCCGTATTTTGCCCACCCCTGTTCTATATATACTTTAATTTGCATTATAGGCCTTTGTCAATAATTTTCTTACTTAACAATCTCATTTTGGGAATGGTTTATTTCTAACTCCTAGTTTAGCCCTTTTAGCCAGGAATGTGAGAGCTGAACTGCATTTTCACCCTCTCATAAAACGTATTCAATACTCAAAGGCTTTGCTGGGCAATTTCCACCCTCAGCTCAATTTTTCCATTCTCGTGGTCTTCTGTTCGCTAACACTGGTGCTTTCAATGTATTTGCTTATATTATTGATTATGCCTTTAACTAGATTTTAGTAAACAGTTTATTAAAGCCATGCTTCATGTTGGTGGTTCCTGAAACCACAGCTAGTAATGGCAGCAGGTGTGACTGCAGGCACACAAGAAAGTAGATACGTAGCTTTTTACAATGTCACTGTTTGGCATTTCAGCTTTTAAATATGTTTCAATTCTTTCTTAATTTAAAGAGCCAAGTATATATAAATAACTACTACTTTGTTCTTTAAATTCTGTTCAGCAAAATAATTGTCACATAATTACATGACTTAATTATTTTGCTGAACAGAATTTAATATACAGAAGAATTTGATTTGTAGTGTACTGATTTTTTTTTTTTTTTTTTTTTTTTCCTTTTAAAAA